CGAACGTGAGTACGAACAACGATCTGTATTGTTACGAGCGTCTGTTACCGAGTTCTACGTTGGTTACATCTTGTATAAAGGAGAAGAGGTGTTGGAATTTAGCTACACATCATTTACGGAGAGAAATTGGAAATCACTGTTCGCGAGAGATTTTATGGATGAAAAGCGCGGTAGTTCTTATTGACGATCGCACAGAAGGTATGAGAACGCAGCTGTAAACGGTGTGCAAAAAATCAGCGATATTAGAAGAATCGTTGAAAAAATTAAATTCGATATACCTACAGATAGTTGTGGTGAAACGCTCTGGTTCACGTGTAAACGAGGGCAGGAATTTTTTTAATATAGAGAGATGGATGAGGAGGTGGAGGATCTTTTTAATCATGCGACGAGCATCGATACGGTGGACATATATCGGGTATAGGAGCAAAAATGCGACGAGTGTCTCGATTTCTTGCGGGAGACGTGTCGAAACAGTAAACGTCAACGAACATCTACCGGAGTCGTAAATGCATCGATCGCTCGACTAGCACGATTGGAAGGCTTGAGAAATGTTTTACGACGTTTTGGACACGTGGGCTCTGGTCTTGTCGAATCGCAAAAGAGTGGATTTTCATGGTTGGAGATCGAAACAGCTTTTAATAATCGCGTATTGACTAGTGTGGTGTTGAATTCGAGTTACATCGAACCTCGACAGTTCTCGACGACGCGAGAGATATCGTTATCGATCGGATTCATGATAATCTTCAGAGATGTAATTGTTTAAAAGTAAATACGATATTTAACGGTGAGTTCGTCGCAGATGCTAAGAGATCTGCTAAGAGTATCACTGCGAAAAATTACGAGCTTTTTAACACATTCGATCTACGAGAGTGGTATGATGAACACGTGACGGATGATATTTTAGCAGCACTGGAGGAATTTCAGGAACGTGACAGTGGATGGGCGCTGTCACGTATATCGAATCTGATTGTAAATGTTAACAAGTATAATCCTATGCATGCGGGATTTTGGGTGGAGTTACCGCGAGAAATTATGCTGAAGAAGGCGGTGATCAACGTGCGTTCGATGGACAATGCCTGTTTCGCCTGGTCGGTGGTCGCCGCTGTGTACCCTGCAGAAAGAAACGTAAATAGAAAATCATCGTTTCCGGATTATACTACCATGTTGAAGCTTGAGGGTATCGAGTTTCCCGTTACATTAAAACAAATTACGAAATTTGAATTTTTGAACAATATATCTATCAACGTATTTACCGAGCGAGAGAGAGGTGGAAAAAAGAGACGATGGTAATGTAATCCTCTTCGTCTTACCAAAGAGAAGAAAGAGAAACATGTAAACCTGTTGTATCTGCAAGACTCAAGACGCAACGATGAAAACGTCATCGGTCATTTCGCATGGATTAAAAATATGTCACGATTGATGGGTTCACAATTGAGTAAGAGTACGAAGAAGAAGCATTTGTACGATAGGTAGGTATACTAGTTGTATATATAACGATAAAAAAAGCTGTATAACGCGCATACTTGTTACTTTACAGATGTCTACATTATTTTCCTACGAGCGAGAAATTGTCGCTTCACATCGTTGACGACACTGTACTACGACGAACGAATGTGCTATTATTCTTCCGAACGAGAACGATAAATGGTTATCGTTTCGTGGTCATAATAAGAAGGAGCAACTTCTCTTTGTCGTTTATGCTGATTTGGAGTGTATACTGGCGAAGAAGACCACCGATGAAAACATGTCAAGATTCACCTATCAACATCACAAGGTGTTTAGCGTAGGGTACTACGTACGTTGTGTATACGACGAAACTATGTCGATATACAAATCTTATCGCGGTGAGGATTGCATATCATGGTTTGTCAAGGAATTATATGATTTGGCACATCGCGCGAAAACGATATTCGATAAGAATATGACTATGGCGGAGTTTACATCAAACGTCGAGTGGGAACAATTTCGAAACGCGACTCACTGTCATATCTGTGAAAGACCATTTGAGGAAGGAGATTTGCGCGTACGCGATCACTGTTATTAAACCGGACGTTATAGAGGTCCTGCACATTTACGTTGTAATTCACAGTATCACGATACGTACGTTATTCCTGTATTTTTTCATAACTTGGCAGGTTACGATGCACATTTTATCATAAAGGATATTGCTAATAGCTTTGTGGGCAGAATCGACTTGTTACCTATAACGAAAGAAAAATATATATCGTTTACGAAACATGTCAAGGCTACAGCAAACTCTAAGCGGGAAACGGACTGTTTGAAATTGCGTTTTGTGGATTCATTCAAATTTCTCAATACTGGTCTCAAGAAATTAGTATCATATCTCGACAAGAGTAAATTGAAAATTATACGATCGGAATTTTCCAATCTTGACGCCGAGGATTTTGATTTGTTACGCGGAAAGGAGTGTTTCCATACGAGTATATCGACAGCGTTGATAAGCTAAACGAGACTAGTTTACCACCGCGTGAACTGTTTTATAGTTCGTTGACCGACGAGGATGACGATTATCAACACGCGACGAACGTTTGGCGACGTTTTTGCATAGAGACTCTCGGCGATTACAGTGATTTGTATCTCAAGACAGATGTGCTTTTATTAGCAGACGTTTTCGAAAATTTTCGTGATACGTGTATTGAGAGTTACGGATTGGATCCAGCGTATTATTACACTTTACCGGGATATACGTGGGACGCTATGTTGAAATACACTGGTATTCGATTCGAATTACTCACCGACATCGATATGGTGATGTTTGTGGTACGCAGTGATTTGAGTCAGTGTTCACATAGATACGTGCAAGCTAATAACAAGTATAACGCATCTTCGTACGATCCTTCGGAATCCTCGACATACTTCGGATACCTCATGTACTTCGACATGAATAATTTGTACGGTTGGGCGATGTCCGAATTCTTACCGTACGAAGAATTTCAATGGGTCGACGACATCGAGCGCTTTGATGTAATGTCTGTGTCGTCAGACTCCGTTATCAGTTATATTCTGGAAGTCGACCTTGCGTATCCACAAAGCGTTCATGACGCTCATGTTGATCTTCCATTTTGCGCCACTCGCGAACGACCTCCCGGAAAACAGAATGTTAAACTACTGGTCACTCTTTACAATAAGGAGCGCTATGTCGTGTACTATCGCAATCTGCAGCAATGTATTCATCATGGTCTCCGCATCACAAAAATTTACCGTATATTACAATTCGCCCAATCCCCATGGCTTCGCGGATATATCGAACTTAATACGAGATTTAGAATGCTCGCGAATAACGAATTCGAGAAGAATCTTTACAAATTGATGAACAACGCGGTATTTGGAAAAACGATGGAGAACGTACGCGATCACGTTGACGTTCGACTTATAACGCGTTGGGATGGGAGATATGGTGCGGAAGCGATAATAGCGAAACCGAATTTTCACAGTAGAAGTATTTTTTCTGAAAATCTAGTTGCTGTGGAATTGCGCAAACTCGAGGTAAACATGAATAAACCGATATACGTAGGTATGTGCATTCTCGAAATAGCTAAGCGTTGCGTCTATACGAATTTCACTATGAGTACATAATACCATTGTATCGCGATACATGTAAGATTTTGTACACAGACACTGACAGCTTGATTTATCTTCTGGAGTGTGAGAATGTATACGAGGACATCAAGCGTGATATCGCGAGATTCGACACGAGTGATTATCCTGAGAGAAACGTGTATGATATTCCACGCGTTAATAATAAAATACCCGGTTTGATGAAAGATGAAAATTGTGGTGCGATTATGACGGAATTCATTGGACTCAGAGCGAAGATGTACGCGTTGAGAGTGATTGGAAAGAGCGATACGAAGAGAATAAAGGGTGTCAAGAAAAACGTAGTCGCGAAAACGATCATTTACGATGATAAGCGGTACGTCGTACCCGAATCGGTCACTACTTTACCTTGGGGACATTATAAAATACTTCTGTAATGTGTGTTGTATTTTATTGTAATAATAAAATAAAAAGTTATAATACATCCGTTTTATCTATCCAAGAATTTTGTGAACTGTCCATTCCTAACCATTTTACATACACTTTATTTCCTCGTTTGCGTAGTATTTTTTCCACGAGGTAAACGTCAGGATTGGAGACTCGCTGTAATTCATGTTCGTAGAATCCACCAGCTATCGGCTTCCCTTGATAATCTTTCAGTAGATACGTTGCAGGATTCGTACGTTGTGTTTTAACGATGTAGAAAATCTCAGTGGACCAATTAGGTGTACGAGTATAACCCTTTTCAAAAATTGTCTTGAATTTACTAATTCGTACTGGATCGCCTATCGTGAACCTCGTTGGAGCGGCAATTTTTACATGACTGTATACCGTCGACAAGAGTCGTTTTGCAACGGTGGATGTTACGTCTATCGGTCGCATTCCAATGGTTCGATGTTTACGATGATTATAATCTGACAATAGACGCGGTAGCTCGTCGATCCATTTGTACGAACCGTTTAACGTGAACGTTTTCCACATGTTATTCTTGAGTGTACGGTTGAATCGTTCCACCACCGACGCTTTCATCACTGAATACGTAGAATAATGATTTATGTTGTATCTCTTAACAATGTTTTTCTGCACGGTAGCGTTGTAAAATTCCTTTCCTTGATCCGTTTGCAGGTTTCGTGGGTATCGTTCGTCCTCACGAAATATTGTAGATAACGCTGCGGTCACATCGTTTCCATTCTTGCTCTTGAGTGGTATAGCCCATGCGTATTTACTCAAAACATCAATACCTGTTAAAATGTAATTGTAACCTTTGTTGAATCGCGCGTAAGGACGCATCTCGACCACGTCGGCTTGTCATAAATCATCGCGACCGTGCACCACGACGCGACGACGTGAAAAATTTCTTCGAGCGGGTGCGTGGAGTTCTTTCACGAGTTTTCGTTTCTCGATACTCATCTCTCTCTGTTATGATAGGAAACGAGCTTTGCACGTATCTTTTAAATCTTTCTAGATGCGTTTAAATACCTAGACACCTCTTTCAGATGTTGAATCTCGTTCTCGTTACACACATTCGTCGATATTGTTTACGCAGATCACTTACACCGTGATGCAACATCTTAATATCATCAAATATGTTTTGAAGCGCCAGCGTGAACGTATCTTTCCCTATCGTTTTAAACGATTCCTCCAATGTCTCTTTCGTCACTATATTAAGCATTTGTTGACGCAAATCAGTTACACCTCGATGAATCTCGTTGGACACTTTCATCAATAATGCATTTACACTATTTGAGACTTCCTCCACGTTGTTTCGCACTTTTTCCACATCGTTCGAGATATCTTTCTGCGTATCCCGAAGCGCGCGTAAGATCATATCTCTCCCGGTCGTTTTGAACGATTTCTCCAATATCTCGTTAGTCACTACATTTTTCATTCGTGCAGTTACATCTCGAGTCAGATGTGTGACAGCGTCGGATCCTTTTTTTTCCATATCACTATACACTTTTAAACTATCTGTCTGCATATCCTGAAGCGCGCGTACGATTATGTCTCTTTCTGTCGTTTTAAACGATTTCTCTAACGTCTCCTTCGTCAATGTATTATTCATTTGTTGACGTAGATCAGTTACACCTCGTTGAATTTCATTAGTCTCCAACATTTCTTTCGTCGCTATATTATGCAATTGTTGACGCAGATCAGTTACACTACTCTGAATCATCTCTTTCGTCACCATATTAAGCATTTGTTGACGTAGATCAATTACATCACGTTGAATCTGGTTAGACACTTTCATCGATAGCGCGCTCACACTTTTCGAGACCTCCTCCACGTTGTTTCGCACTTTTTCCACATCGTTCGAGATATCTTTCTGCGTATCCCGAAGCGCGCGTACGATCATATCTCTCCCCGTCGTTTCGAACGTCGCTATATTACGCAATTGTTGACGCAGATAAGTTACATCACGCTGAATCTCGTTGGACACTTTCGTCGATAGCGCGCTCACACTTTTCGAGACCTATTCCACGTTGGTTCGCACCTTTTCCACATCATTCGAGATATCTTTCTGCGTATCCTGAAGCGTGCGTACGATCATATCTCTCCCTATCGTTTCGAACGATTTCTTCAATGTCGCGTTAGTCACTACATTTTTCATTATTCGTACAGTTACATCTCGAGTCAAACGTTGCATCTCTTCCACGTTTCTTCGCACCTTTCTCATATCGCTCCTTATCGCTCCACATGATTCCTCGATCTCGTTTCGCGTATCTCGAAGCGTGCGTTCAACGTAGCTTTTGTTTACCGCGTCGGTGTCG